TTCTTCAACTTTGGACGCGAATTATCATTTTTCGCGTCCAAAGTTACTTTGGACACTGATTGTTTATACAATCAGCGTCTCCTACATACGCGTCCAAGCAACTTTGGACGCGTATTAGCCTTAACTTTGGACGCGAATGACTGTTTTTCTACTAGTGTGCATCTTTAATTATACTGTCGAACCCCATGGTATTATTGTTCTTGTCGATCGCTGCGTCAACATTCATCTTGAGGGTGCTTTGTCGTGGTTTCTCCTATCCAACAAAAGCCTGTTGTTCATTCTTCCTCGTGCTCGGAAATGCTGCCTTGAGCCATTCATTTAGAAAAGTTCTAGTCTTAATCAGCACCGCTACAGCAGACGTAAGATTCCTTGCATTCCAAACATTTTCATTCCTTTGCTTCCACAATTCCCAACAGGTTGTAACAAATATAGGTAGATTGGCAGCATTGAGAATATTTGAATTAACAATGAACCAATCCTTGATATTATGCGTAGATGATTGAAGGCTGGAAATTAAACTTCAAAAGATTCCATACTTGCTTAGCATAGACACACTCCACAAATAAATGCCAGATGGATTCCTGACTCAGATTGCACACAAGGGGCAGACACCATCACAATTCACCTCTCTTTTAATGAGCAAGTTGTGACAACCCAAAATTTAAATTTCATAAATCTGGTTTTAAGAGAAATCCAAAATAGCCAATTTTCACTCCATAATTTTTTTTTTTTTTTTTGCGATGAAATCGGTGTTTGAATGAATTATTTTGAGCCACTTTTAAGTAAATTCAACACCGGGACTTATTTTAAATCTAAAATCCTAGATTTTCGGGTACATTGCGTGCCAAGTTTTGAACTGAGAAACCTATCTGAGTGAAACCGGGAGAATTTTGAGAAGCCTAAACCAAGTGTTTATCTATAAATTATTTTGGAAAAATTCCGTTTTCAACCCCAAATTATTTTAAATAGTAATCCTAGCCTTTGGTTCATGTAGCATGGTAGACCACAAGAATCCATCTTTGTTTGATGCTTTATAGAATCAACCAAAATTAACACTTTGCCACCAACCAATCATTGTTGTTCCTCCTAGGGTTTTGCACCCTATAAAAACCATGATATCTCTCCATTGTTTCTTGATCTCATTTTTCCATTGCCTCTCCATTTTCTGAGCTCTGTAGAAGAAAGAAAGCAAAGGCAGTAAGATTTCATCTCATCCCTTCATCTCTTTATCCTTAAGATTTCCATCCTAGCCTTCAATCTCTGATATCTTTTCTTAGGCAGTGTATATGTTGTTTGTGTTGGTTTGATGTGTTTAAGAGGTGAAAGAAGTGGTGTTTGAGTAGAATGGAGGCTGAGATTCACACAAGGAAGAAGAACAAGAAGAAGAGGCAACAAGAGGTATAATCCATGGACTCCAAAGTTATTTTCAAGACTCTGTGAAGTCTTTTGATGTGTAGAAATGAGTAGAAATGCTAGATTTTGAAGTATTTGAGCTATTAAGTGATCTATTACTTGTCTATGATGTGTTGTTGATGTTTTGGATGAGTTAGATTTGTCTGAGAAATTTTTGCAGATGAAAAGAAGGTTTCTGGTGCACAGATAGTGTGCACCAGTGGGCATAGCGGATCCAGCCAACGGCCCACAGAGGGGACCGTTGGCTAGGGCCGTGACTAGCCGGGCCTAAGGAACGGCCTTAGGAGGGGGTCGTTGCCTAGAGCCGGCATTTGAGCGGTCTGAGGGGCAGGCCTAGTTGAGCCCCGCCCCAATATCCGTTGAGTGCTTCCAGTGCAGTGGCCGAACCCTTGTGGCTCAGCTACGTGTCGTTTCGGACGGGGTGTCATTGACCCCGGGGCCGTGTTGACGCACGTTTTGGCTTTGATTTTGTTAAGTTTGGAGAAGATTTGAGCCTCTTATGCTTGTTTTTGTACAAGGAATTGTTGCAGAAGTATTTGGTTTTACTCCCAGTATTTGAACTTGTGAGCTATCAAACTTTATTTATTTTATTTGTTGATCATGTCATAGTATGATTGTTGAATAGAGAAGCATGAGCCTAAATGGTTGATTTTAGCTAGCAAAGCATGCCTAAAGTGGTTATTATAAATTGTTGAAGTTCCCTGCCAAGTTCCTAATTTTGAACATGTTTATTCGAGAGTATTTTTGAGTTCCAATAGCATATAGGCGGCAAGGGGGCGCCTGGCGCCTAGGCGCCGTTTTTTATTTTTTATTTTTTATTTTTTTTTTATTTTTTTAATTAAAAATTAAAAATTTTTAAAATTTAGTAATAAAACATAAGGTTTCCATAGTTATTTCTCAAAAACTATTTACGAAAGTGATTGTAAAATTGTTCAAAAGATTGTTTAAACCGTCTAAATACATAAAAAACTAAAATTAAGAGCTAAAGAAGTATTTTTTTGAGAAATTAGTGGACCAAAGGCAGTTTGCGGTGGATAGATCTCGAAAAAATACGCGATTTGAAAAAAAATTGTCCAAAACGAACAACCGAGTCAAAAGTTATGCCTTCCCGAACTTTTCGCAATTTAAAACGCAATATATATATATATATATATATATATATATATATATATATATATATATATATATATATTAAACCGCCGGTTCAGCCGGCTAGGCGGCCGCCTAGACGGCCGGCCGCGGAGGAGGCCGATTCCGGCCTTCTTCGCAGCGGCGGCCGGGCGCCTAGCACCTAGGCGCTAATTTATCGGTGCGATTTTTGCAACCATGGTTATGAGTTTCAAGCATGATTTATTGGTTTTGATTGAGTTTCACAGTGAATAGAAAGTAAAAGCATATCTTTACAGTAAATGCCATTTTGAGCATATCATGTTTTAAAAGTGCATAATAAGTAGCCAATGTGAGCCTAAGTATTATTTTCTTACAAACTCATATCTATTGTAGAGAGTTATTATCTTGTCATATTGAGATTGAGTTGAGAAGTTATGTGCATATTTGCATAAGAAAAGTGTTGCATATTGAGATGCTTGAGTGATATATTTATATATATCTATTGTGAGGAAAACCTTGTTTTGGAGGACCCGTTTGGACTATGTCCTTTATGAGTAAAAGAGAAAGCAACGGACATTGCGATCCGATATCATGTAACGCGGCGTATTCTCACGTTACGAGGTTGGAAATTGCCCGCCAGTCTTGGAATCCTGGTCAGGGGGTGTGCACGCTGATAGTTCGATACCTGATTCCAAGAGTTTGAGTTTGGAACCACGAGATTGGTTCTGTGGGCGGGATGAGAGATTGGCCAGCTAGACGTCGTGCCCAATGTGTCCATTCACATTATGGTGAAGCTCGGCCTCGCCCACGAGTAAAGAGAAAGCAAGTCATCACGGCTCTAAGAAAGCGAGTCATTGAGACTCTAAGAAAGCAAGTCAACATGACTCTAAGAAAGAGAGTCAACATGACTCTAAGAAAGCGAGTCAACACGACTCTAAGAAAGCTAGTCTTTGAGACTCTAAGAAAAGAAGAGCAAAGCGAGTCATTTTTTGCTCTAAGAAACCTCCACAGAAAAAGTATTCCTTTTACAAAAGAGTGTATATGTATATATATATATATATATATATATATATATATATATATATATATATATATATATATATATATATACTTATTATATATCTTGCACGAGATTGCATGATTAGTAGCATGAGATTGCTTATGAGTTATTTGATAGCATGAGTTTGCTTATGAGTTATATATCTTGCACGAGATTGCATGATTAGTAGCATGAGATTGCTTATGAGTTATTTGATAGCATGAGTTTGCTTATGAGTTATATATCTTGCATGAGATTGCATGATTAGTATTAGTAGCACGAGATTGCTTATGAGATATATGCCCTGCACAACATTGCATGAGTAGTAGCACGAGATTTCTTATATATATGTTTTGCACTAGATTGCATGAGTAGTAGCACGAGATTGCTTATATATATCTTGCACTAGATTGCATTAGTTGCCTATGAGTTATACGCCTTGCACTAGATTGCATGATTGATAGTATGAGCTTGCAGTGAGTTATGTGTCTTTCAAGAGAATGCATGATAAGTATATGATAGCATATGAATGCTTGTTTGAGTTATATATGAGAAAACATGAGTTTATTGAGTAATTGAGAAGCTTAGTTTGTTCATGAGATGAGAATGTGATAAGTTGTTTATTGAATAAGTATGCCTATATGAGTATTAGGTTGCAAGCATCTAGAAGTTTATGCCAAGTATGTCTAAGTGTATAGCATAGTTATCATGGCGTCGCCTAGGCGACGCCTTGGCGTCCTGTCGGTGGAGACAGGACGCCTGGAGGGCTCGACTCGCCTGAAAGGGGCGAGTCGAGCTATGGCATCGCCATGGCGTCCCAGGCGACGCCATGGACGCCAATCCGTCGTCCAACCCGCAAACCCGGCCCATTTTTGGTTTTTATTTTTTTTAAATTTTTTTAAAAGTTAAGTAACAACTAATAAGAAAAAAAACCCTAAGATAAGAAATAGAAAGTGCGAGACTTAGTCAAAAACGCAAGAAGCTGCTGCGACTCTACGACCTTAGTCAGAAACGGAAGAAGCTGTAAGTCTGCGACAGTGCAACTCCGAGACGCCGACCCTCCCTCCCTCCATTGCCGTCGCCCACGGACCACCGCCATCGCCGGACCACTGCCGTCGCCGGACCACCGCGAGCTGTGAGTTGTTTCCTGATTTCTTGTTTCTTCTTCGCTGTTCGTCACTTCGTCGATTTTTCTTCTTCTTTTTTTTTTTTGTTTGTTTTCTCTTTGTTTTCATTTGTAGTGGCTTTATATACCAAAGAAATGAGTCAAATGACTTTGTTTGGTATTTAAGCCATTAATGGCCTTATGGCCACGTAGCGGCAGTGAGCAGAGGCAGTGCTCACTGCCTACCACTTGGTCAATTACTTTATTTATTTATTTTTTTTTTAAAAAAATTGTACATTGTTTCATGATTGGACAGTAGGATTACAGTCAATTATGGCTGCAAATTCGAAAAATGAGAGCTATGATCCATCTACCGACCCTAAGAGGAAAGCTAAGTCAAATGATCCGGGATGGAAGTATGGTTTTTGGCCGGACTTGGCAAACAAAGATTTAGTCGAATGTTCACTTTGCCACAAACAAATGCATTCGGGAATCAAAAGACTAAAACAAAACTTGGCGGCGGGTTACGGAGATGTTGCTAAATGCCCCAAAACAACTACGGAGATTATGAGGGAAATGCAACAATATATGCAAGGCACATCAAGAATGAAGAGATCAAGGGTGGTCTTGGATGATAATGTGGATGATGATGTGCAAGAATTGGCAAGGGAAGAAACACAACCATCATCTCACGATTCCGTTACTTATCCAAGTTCCGGGACGGCTAGTAAGAGAAAACAAACCATTTTGAGATTTGCAGAACCGCAACCGAGAGTAGGAAAACAAACTCAATCAGTTGCATCACTACTTAGAAAGACCCCTGAAAAAGTAGTTGATGAGAGGCATTCCAAGGGTCCTACTCAAAGAACAATTGAGGCTTGTACGAAGAGTAAGGAAGAACCAAAGAGGACAATGCTACATATAGTAGATTTTTTTATGAGAATGGCATACCATTTAATGCAGCTAATTCAAGAAGCTTTGAAGTAATGGTTGAATCAATTGGACAATGGGGGTCAGGATTGAAGCCTCCTAGCTTTCATGAGTTACGAGTACCCCTCCTTTTGGACTCAAAGCAAGCGACTGATAAGTTGAAAGAAAGACATAAACTTGCTTGGAAGCAATACGGGTGCACACTCATGTCTGATGGGTGGACCGATAAGAGAGGTAGACATTTGATTAATTTTCTTGTGAATAGTCCCGAGGGGACTTTTTTCTTGGAGTCGGTTGATGCATCGAGTGAGTCACACGATGCAAGAATGTTACCTGGATTGTTGGAGCAAAAAGTTGAAGAAGTTGGAAAAGAAAATGTTGTTCAAATAGTGACCGACAATGGAGCAAACTATAAAGCCGCGGGAAAACTTTTGGAGGAGAGGATTCGGACATTATTTTGGACTCCTTGTGCAGCACACTGTCTTGACCTCATGCTAGAGGACATTGGGAAGATGACAGAGTTCAAGTCCAAGATTGCAAGTGGTAGAAATATTACCACTTTTATTTATAGACATGGGCAAATCCTTAGTGCCATGAGAGAACATACGGGTGGGCAAGATCTTGTAAGAGCTGGAGCTACCCGATTCGCCACAGCATTCCTCACTTTACAGAGTTTGTACAAGCACAGAAATGCTTTGAGAGCTCTATTTGTTAGTGATAATTGGGTTCGCTCAAAATTATCCAACACCGAAGCGGGTAAAAAGGTGTGTGAGATCGTGATGTCGTATAGATTTTGGATTGCGGTTGAGGATTTCTTGAGAGCACCACATCCCATTTTGAGTGTGTTGAGGATCGTTGATGCTGATAGTACTCCAGCTATGCCCGAGTTTACGATGGCTATGTTGGCTGCTAAGAAAAAACTCAATGAATCATTTGCAAGCAAGCCAAGGTTGTTGGGAAAGTTGATGGCTATTGTAGAACGGAGATGGGATGATCAGATGGGAGTGGATTTATATGGAGCCGCCTTATTTTTAAATCCTTCTAAATACTTTGACCTTAAGGCGACGGATAGTACATGTGCTCGTAAGCAACGAGCCATGTTCAATACAATACTTCATAAGATGATTGACGATGATGACTTGCAAGTGAAGATCAGCAATCAAGCATATAACTATGATAACATGAGGAAAGACTTTGGAATGCCATTAGCAGTCAAGCAACAAAAAGCAAAGACTCCTCGTAAGTAATACTATCATACTAAGTAAATAACTACTAAGACACTAAGTACAAAGTATATTAAATATGATAAATCTTAAACTTATTTTGTAGTTGATTGGTGGAATGCTTTTGGTGGACTTAGCATTGAGCTTCAAACACTAGCAATGCGCATCACAAGCCTTTGTTGTTCATCTTCCGGTTGTGAGCGCAATTGGAGCACATTTGAATTTGTAAGTATAGTTTTCCTAATTAGTAAATAGTATTATAGAATAATTTATCTAAAATTTTAATACATGAATTTTAAACTTGTTTATGTTTCTACTTTTACTTTTTTAGATCCATACAAAGAAAAAAAACCGCTTAGAACATAAGAGATTGAACGACTTGGTCTATGTTCAATACAATCGTAAAATTGCAAGTAGGTTTCAAAAGATGCGTGAAGAAGGCTCCAACTTTAATCCATTGGTCTTAGAAGAGTTCCAATGGGACAATGAATGGATTAATGGTGGTGAATCTAGTGATGATGTTCATCCCGGGGGTGATCTTTCATGGAGGCATGTTGATGAAGCAATTGGTGCATCGAACAATCTTGAGGGCTCTCATCTTTCTACAAGAGCTCACGCAGGGGAGGGTTCACGTGCACAAGTGTTGAGCTATTCACAAAGCCGCAATGCTTCTACTAGTACTCCTTCTAGTTCTAGGATAGATGAGGAAGAACAAAATGAAGAAGAACATTTTCCTAATGATGATGAGGACATTGAAGATGATGATGATGTTCAAGATGATGATGAAGTGGGAAATGAAGATAGTAATGATGGCAATGAGGGAGAAACAAATATTGATGACTTCTTGATGGACCTTTGAGACTTTTAATTTGGATATTGTTGTCTTGTTGATTATTCTAGTATTCTACTTGTGTAGTTGTGTTACTTGTGTGTTATGTAGTTGGTAACTTGGTACCTTAATATGTTGAATGCTTGAATACTTGAATATGTTTAATTTTTTAGAGTTTAGACTTTAGCATGTTTAAACTTTAGATATATATATTAATCTATATATAATTATATATAATATATATAATTATATATATATTGTTCTTCCTAACTTGTCGCCTAGGCGACAAGTCGGTCGGGGGGCGCCGCGACTTAACAAGGCGCTGTGATAACTATGGTGTATAGGCCTGTTTGAGCAAAGAATGTGGAACTTTGTTTTCCAAAGTATATACTGTATTTACTTTACGGGGTTGAGTGGCGTTATACTTAGCTTCGTGCTAACGGGTTTTGTTTGCTACTTGTTGTTTGTTAACTCCTTTCAGGTGGGCCCAGTTCGTACGTACGAGAGAGTACGAGTTAGACTAGTTTAGTTAGATGACTTTGTAGTCTAAACTCTTGTTGTTTTGGGTTTTGTAGTTGACTACCTTATCTTTTGATGGTGTTGAACACCGGGGCTTTGTTCCCCAAGTTTGGTTATAGTACTTTAAGTTTGACTCCTTTAGATTCTTTTTTTAGCCTGTGCAGTCACCGTGGGCAGTGACACCTCTTTATGTTTATTTAGTTGTTTTAATCCGCTGCTTTAGTTTATCTTTAAAGGTTTAGTTTGTTAATTAAGTTTAAGAAAAGTGAGGTGTTACACAAGTCTTTTGTAGGGAGACAATTGGTGCAGGCTTGCCAAAAAAATACTTTCACCTTGGGAAGTGTTTTTAATTTCCAGACCAAAGCCCATTGATTCTGTCCTCTTGTCGAAGATCTCCATGTAGAACTCCGTAACAACTTTTGACAGTGAAATTTTCATCTTCCTCTGGTGCCCATATTAATTTGTCATGAATGTGCTGCTCAGATAAATGAATTTTTAGAATCAATTCAGTATCCCTGGTCTAAAAAATATCTCTAATTGTGTCCTCATCCCATTTGTTGTTCTCATGGTCCTTAAGGGTATCAACTGTAACATTCTCCATGAAAGGGTAAGGAAATGTCGCTACTGTTGGATTCTCCCTGTCTAGGAGCCACTTGTCTTTCCATATGTATACAATGTTGCCCCTCCCAATCTTCCATCTGCTATGTTTTCTGACAATCTCCTGTGTTTCCAGCAAACTACTCCATATAAAAGAGGGGTTAGAGCCTTTTTGAGCCTCCAAGAAGGTGGAGTTTGGGTAGTACCTGGCCATATATACTTTAGAAACCAAAGAATCGGGGTGATTAATAAACCTCTATGATTGTTTGCACAACATAGTAAGGTTGAAATTCCTAAGATTTCGAAATCTCAACCCTTCCCATTCCTTAGGAGCACACATATTGTTCCAAGATTTCCAATGAATACCTTTATTCCTTCTCTCATCACCTCTCCACCATTAAGCATTCATGGTTGTTTCAATTTCTTTTATCAACTCTTTCGGTAGAAGAAAAAACCCCATAGCATAAGAAGGTATGACTTGGATAATGCTCTTGAGAATGACCTCCATCCCTACCCTAGAAAGAAACCTCTGATTCCAGCCCCTAATTCTCCCCAGAATCCTTTCTTTTAGAAAACCAAAAATTTGTTTTTTGTTTTTTATTTTTTATTTTTTTATTTTTATTTTTACGCATAATCATAGGTAAGCCAAGATAGTTTCCACTACCACCTTCCCTCCTAACACCCAAGATCTCTGTCACACACTCCCTCATATCCTCCTCTACATTACCACTAAAAAAAGGGAAGATTTGTCAAAATTTACAATCTGTACAGAGGCTAGAGCATATTGATCTAGGAACTGTTTAAGGTTAGACGCATTATAGTGGTTAGCTTTGTTGAAGATAAAGCTGTCATCCGTGAAAAAAATGTGGGAAATGGATGGGGCAGACCGAGCAACAGAAATACCATGAATCATTCCCCCTCTCTCATAATTTCTTAACAAGGCACTAAAACCTTCGGCAACCAACATGAATAAATAGGGAGATATAGGATCGCCCTGACGGAGGCCTCTCTTGGGAACAATTAGACTTAAAAAAACGTTGTCTATTTTTAAGTTTATGATTATTTATTTATTTATTTATTTATTTTTTATTATTTTTTATTTTTTTTGAGAATGAGCTTATAAAGCTTAACATTGCATGTCTAAGTAAGTTTTGGGAGCTATTAAGTATGTTCTAGTGATGCAAGTTTATATCCAAAGTGTCCAAGTAATTAACAACTGCATTGCATTATAATTTTGATACAAATTAACTTGTTATTTAAGAAAAAAAACTTGTTATTTAAGAAGGAGAAGAAATAATAACAACAACAACAACAATAATAATATTGAAACAAAAATACACAGTAATTCTATTACTGCAAACCAAACAGTATAATTTAAATTTCACTTTATTCTCACACACCTTTCCTCCCATGAAATTATAATTATTTTTTTCTTTCCTAATTTTCTTCTTGCAACAAATCACCTCGTAACGGGGCGTTTGGTTGGAGGTAGAGAATTACGTGGGAAATGAATTGCAATTTCATGGGAGATGAATTACTGGGAATAACGTGTGAATTTAAATTCCAGTATTTGGTTTATAGGAATATAATTACTTGAAATTTCAATTCCAATGTTTGTATACATGAGTAGTTTGGTACAATGTAGTTTGGTTGTAAAAGAATTGAAATTCAATGAAAGGTGAAATTACATTGTTTGGTTGGAGGGAATTGCAATTCCGCTGAATTGCAATTCCCTCCTTTTGCTGAATTACAATTCATGCCTCCACCCTAGGAATTGCAATTCCATGCTTTGTGGAATTGCAATCTCATTATAAATTACTAATTTACCCTCATTAGCATTATTATATTAATATTATTATATAAGGGTATTTTAGTATTTATTTACTTCTTCCCTCTCAATTCCTCATCACCCTATTTCTTCCTACCAAACAATGTAATTTAAATTCCCACTTTATTCTTTTCCCACCGAATTACAATTCCTTTCCCCCCTAATTCCTTCCTTCCAACCAAACGCCCCGTAAGTGAATAATAAGTAGTATAAAGTCCAAAATGTCCATTGTTGTTGTCAGACATCAATTTTAATTTTAGGTTAAAAAGGGAGGTCTCATTATTATTATTTTTTCTTCTTAAAATCCATGAGATTAAAATTCCAAGGGGATGAGATTTTAATTCCATGAAAATGAGGGAATTACAATTCCGTGGAATTGCAATTCCTTCTAACCAAACTAAAGAATTTAGTGACATTTGGAATTAGGTAGAAATTAAGTAGGAATGTAATTTAAATTCCCTCCGACCAAACACCCTGTAAGAGTTCCATGAAAGAAGCGGAAAATAACTTCCCGACAAAAAAAAAAGAAGAAGTCATTTTCTTTAAAAATTCATCTCTTTTCTATTGATCATACTCTATTTTCTATTGACTTTAGTATTTTCGTCTTTGCCAAACACAAAAAATCAAAAAAATAATTTTTAAAAATCATTTTCCCAATTTTCAAATACACCCTAATAAAAATCTAATTACACTACTTTTTGTTAGATATAAGTGCTAATTTAACTTACTTTTATAAATAAATATATGAAGTAATACTCATACTTCCTTAGTTTCTTCCCAACTATTTTCTAATGCTGCCTTCGGGCGATTACCCGGAAACATCCCAAACCATTTCCCATTGACCCCCGTCTTCCTCGGTCCAGATCTCTCTCCTCCTCGTCGTCTCTCTCTTTATATATTTGTGAATACCTATAAAGCCTTTTCTGTATATATAGCTCGAGATTTCTATATAGATTGTTTAGGGTTTTAGTTTTCTTCCGAGAATTTAATAAAAAAGAAAATTATTTTTTCCGTATTTCCTGTTCGGCATATTATAGGTGTCATGATCTCCAAAATTTAGCTTTAATTTTATAAAATTGTTGTAGCTTTATGAGTTTCGTTTTTCTTTTTTGAGAAAAAAATATAATTTTTGAAGATCACTGTGATGGTGGGCTCGGAGAACTCAGCTGAGACTTTGCCGCCATCAATGGAAGTGGCACCGAGGAATTACGGCGTAACTAGACCGTTGTCTCTTGCGGGGCCGTCTGAGGCCGATAAACATAGAAACGCAGCTCTTGAAAAGGTATTTTCTTTTCCAGCTTTGGACAGATTCTGGTATTACTTATTGTTGGTAGGTTGTTTGTAGTTAAGATAATTGAGTTCATGTTTGTAAGCTGCTTAGTTTTTATCATCTGAATATGGGTTTAAATTTATACTGAAGCTGTTGAGTTTTTTTATTTGAAGTTTCTGAGAGATTCTGGGCTGTATGAGAGCGAGGAAGAGACTGCAAGGAGAGAAGAGGTGTTGCGGAAGCTTGATCAGGTATTTCAGATTTCTGTTTAGCTCAATGGTTGGTTGCAATAATTAGACATTTTCTCATCCATTGGTTGAGTTTGCTTCATGTATGTACTATGAATAACCCAAAATATGCTTAAGAACAGGCACAATTCATCTCTCTCAAATAAAATAATAAAACAATAAAACATTTAATTAGTTTAGAACTTCCCTAATCTTAAAAGCAGCACTGACCAACAGAATCTCTGGAGACAAACAACGAAATCCAAATTCTTTTTGCCTAAGCACCGAACAGCTGAATAGCAACAACTCAAAATCCAAAATCTCTTTGCTAAGCACCCAACAGCCACAACTCATTAGGGGCCAGAACTTAGTCTAAGTGATCGAACTAAGCCTAACGCGCTAAAATCCATTGAGTGTTCCACAAAGCCAAATTACACACTCAAGAGCAAAGAAGATTCAAGAGGCCTAAAATGCATTTATTCAAGAATCTTGGAGCAAGAGTGGCCCAAGTGGAGAATTCTACGTTGAAACCCAAGAGAGGAGATCAGGAATTGTTTAATTGGATCCAAATAAATCAAGGACTTAATTTGAAGCTAATTAATTCTGGTGTGTCCGAGAAGGGCTTTGGCCAGCTGCCAGTGACAAAGGGTCTTTGTAGAATGGGACTTGCTTGGAATTGAAGATACTAGTTGCTTAGCCCACAGGGACATCCATAAAAGCAAGCTTGGCCGTGAGATGGCAGCCCATATGGTGTGGAGCAATCTGAATTTTACTTCTTAGTTTGTAATTCAATTAAGTCTTAGTTAGTTAGCCAATTATTAGAATACTTAGCAAGGAAGTAACCTAGTTACTTCTAACCCTAGAAGGGTTCCTAGAGATTCATATCCCCTTCAAGCATGACCTGTTTGTAATATTTGTAATAAAGTGTTTTTTTTTTAAAAAAATAAAAATAAATAAATAAATTTGCTGGAGGTTTTTTGATTGTTGACCCCCCACAATTTACCAGCTGAGTTGAGATAACAAATATTGATGTCAATTGTTATTGTTATCTGATGTTTCTGAATGGCATAGTATATAGAGGTTTAAACTGTCAGCAATGAAGTGAAGTGTATTGAAAACTTTGTTCATTTTCCTTGTTTTTTATTTTTGATTTTTTTGGGGGCATTTTTCTGTTATCCTTTTCATTTGGTATTTAAATTTTATTTAATATAATTTTTAGATATTAAAAATATTAAAAGCTCATGTGGCATTTGCCATGGCAGCTTATCGTCACTCACGCAAAAGCGTAGATACTGACTAGTCTAATGACTCTAAAGGTGTTCTTTTTAATCCTCAATTTTACCAATTTTTAAAGACGTGGGCCAAGTTGACCTAAATTGAGGTCAGAGGGGCTAAATTGAACAAATCCAGTGTAGGTATCTCCTAAGTACTTTGATTTGTATGTGTAATTCTTTCATCATATAATGGTTGCACACTCACTTATCTGTAAGGCACTTGGCATTTGCAAATTTTTTGAATTGAAACGGGGTGAAACCCATATGGCTATATCCTTGAGCTGTTGTGTTGCAAGTATATTCTACAGATTTCAAAACTTTTGGTACAATTTAGGTTTGCTTTTATCTCCTGGTTCTATGTTTGTTTGCTTGCCTGTTGAGCATATTATTTTCATTGCATGAAACATTATCTGATGTTTACAGCTACTTTTATATTGAAATCATCTTACAAATTCTTTTACTAATAAATGTTCTCTTGTAGATTGTGAAGCTTTGGGTGAAGCAATTGACCCGCCAGAGAGGTTATACAGACCAAATGGTGGAAGATGCAAATGCTGTCATATTCACTTTTGGGTCTTATAGGCTTGGTGTAAGTAAAAACTTCTTTTATTGTTACTTAAAGGTCCGTAAGGCTTTTAGGCTGCTTGCTTCTCCTATAATGCATGTTAGTGATCCATCTCATTTATGGAGGCAGGAAAGTGCATGCATCTCTATGATGTGCACATGCATAAAATATTTCATTGATTATCTCTTTACCCTTATTTTTATATGGGTACAAATGAAAGCTGTTGGGTATGAAAAATATATTATTGGGATGAAAAAATATGTTATTAATGGCTGTTCTCTAACTACTTTAAGCTGTTAGGTGTAGTTTGGATGAGCTTATTTTCAGCATATGAATTGGTATGAGCACTTGCAATTTTTTTTTGTATAGTCTTATAAAAATAGTTTATGACTTTTGGAAAGCTTTTTGAGCCTATTTCCATAAGCTATTTCAATTAGCTTAATAGAATACATTGAAATGCAACTTTTCAGAGGCCACCTCATCCAAACCAGCCCTTAGTCTTGTTGGAGGATAAATTCTGTAGTGCATTTAGTTTAGTAGTTGAGTGTGCCATTATCATATTTGTATGTTGATGGTCAATATTATTGATTTTTGCTCTTGTTTAAGTCCTGACAAATTTATAATTGCACAGTTTCCTCGTATAGGGAATTAGGGACGATATGCTTTAGAACTAATACTCTTTAATTTTTAACATTGACCAACAGGCTCCTATTGAGATATTTTGATTGAATAAGAAATGCTTTGCTCTTATATTATTATTGTTGTTGTTGTTATTATTATTATTATATTATTATTATTGTTATTATTATTATTATTTAAATACTTCACAGGCTGATAAAGTGACACAACTTCCACTGCTTGGATATTAAATATGTGAAATGAGTGAAAGAAGAAAACAGAAGAATTTAGTATCAACTACATGTATTCTGTTTTTACAGGTTTTCTGTTATTAGTGCTGTTAACCAAAACTGACGGTGCACAAGCAAGGGAATTCTTTTGGTGTGACCCTTGTATTTCTTCAATATTCTCTGGAATATTTTCTGAGATTGATCACCATTTTTCCTTTTTACTTGGATCTCTTTTAGTTAATCATTTTATATTCCAGTCAGCACCTCTTCAACTCTATAAAGTAATTCTTCCTCTTTACTAGTATGGATTGTTCTCAACAAGTAATATTATGTGTCAACAAGTAATATTTATTACAGGTTCATGGGCCTGGAGCTGACATTGACACATTATGTGTTGGTCCATCATATGTCCATCGAGATGTGAGTTTTAAGTTGTGTACTTGTGGCTGAGTTTCTGAGACAGTTTGGCTAGCAAGCATTGTTTACCGAAGATTGTTTTTTGTTCTCTCTGCAGGAAGATTTTTTTATTACTCTACATGGCATATTAGCAGAGAAGGAAGAGGTTACTGAACTTCAACCTGTTCCTGAGGCACATGTACCTGTCATGAAATTCAAATTTCAAGGAATATCAATTGATCTCCTTTATGCTAGTATCTCTCTCCTGGTTGTCCCTGAAGTAAGTTTGATCAAAGATGTTTTAAGATCATTTCCCCAAACAGTCCATTTATTTAACTTTCCCACTTCAATGTTTTGTTGTATTCCACATCTCAAGGTTTTATGGGGTCATGATAATTAAGATTGTTGGATTGCATTACTTTCTGTGTTTTTTCCGGATCTCTTTCAAGGACCTTTTTTTGGTGCTTAGGAATTTATCCTAGCTCTAAAAAACGCAGTGAGTATTATGTCATGTTTTTTCATGTTCTTGATGACTCCATCTTGGTGGCTTTGATAGTATATGCAATTTGGAAGTGAAGTTGAATTATTCATTGAGGTTGGATTATAATACATGCTCTTTATATATTTAATATTTTCAACAGAATTTGGACATTTCAGACCGTTCTGTTCTCTACAATATTGATGAGCAAACTGTTCGAAGTCTCAATGGGTGCAGGGTTGCTGATCAAATTCTTAAACTTGTTCCTAATGCTGAGGTAAGCATAGTTTTTACCTGTTGTGCATCTAATTATATCATTTTCATGATTTTTGTTTGTGTTCTTTTTAAAATCTCATAGCATTTCCGGATGACACTAAGATGCTTGAAATTTTGGGCCAAAAGGCGCGGCGTTTATTCAAATGTTAGTATTCTCCTCTCTCTCTCTCTTACCCCCTTGTGCCTTCCAATACTTATTGGTGTTAACCATGTTGTTGTTGTTGTTGTTGTTGTTATTATTATTATAATAATAATAATATAATAATAATAATAATAATTATTATTATTGTTATTATTATATTTCTGATATATAAAAAAATGTTTCGAAGGGAACATGATTTTTCTTTTCCTCGATTGGTAAGGTTACTGGATTTCTTGGTGGTGTAAATTGGGCTCTTTTGGTTGCTCGGGTTTGCCAGTTTTATCCTAATGCAATTCCTAGTATGTTGGTTTCACGGTTCTTCAGAGTCTATACACAATGGCGTTGGCCAAATCCTGTTATGTTATGTCCTATAGAAGAAGATGAGCTTGGGTTTCTTGTTTGGGATCCTCGCAAGAATCCCAAAGACCGGACTCATCATATGCCAATCATCACTCCTGCTTACCCTTGCATGAATTCTAGTTACAATGTCTCACCAAGCACTCTTCGTGTAATGATGGACCAATTTCAATTTGGTAACAAGATTTGTGAGGTAAAATGTAAGAGTTCAATTTTAGTTTTCAACTTGTTCACTCTCCTGGCTGTCTATTTTGATTGATGTTGCGCATCTTTTCTCTGCCTTTTGTTCAGGAGATTGAGTTGAATAATAAACATTGGGGTGCCCTTTTTGAGCCTTATATTTTCTTTGAGGCATACAAAAACTATCTTCAGGTTGACATTGTTGCAGCACACACTAATGATTTGTTGGCTTGGAAAGGATGGGTGGAGTCGCGGCTTAGACAACTAACACTTAAGGTAAAAGATATCTGTTTCATTTAATTCCAACAGTTCATAAGAACCTCTTGGTGAGTTGGTGCTGGATGCATTGAGGCATTATATATGTTTGTTCCTTTGTTCCTGTTTTCTCTCTAGTTGCTTTTCTCTTGTCAAGAGTTCATGTTTTTCATTTGATGTTTTGCAGATAGAGCGTGACACAAATGGAATGTTACAGTGCCATCCATATCCAACTGAATTTGTTGACGCTTCTAAACCATGCCCACATTGTGCTTTTTTTATGGGCTTGCAAAGGAAAGAAGGAGTTAAGGTGGAAGAAGGGCAACAGTTTGATATTCGTGGAACTGTTGATGAGTTTAAACAAGATGTAAACATGTACTCTTATTGGGGTCCTGGGATGGATATATTTGTGTCTCATGTTCGTAGAAAACATATTCCTGCTTATGTCTTTCCTGAAGGACACAAGAGACAGCGTCAGTCTAGAAACATAACTTATCATAGTTCTTGTACTCCTGAAAAAGATGTCAAAGGCTGCACATCCCCTGAAGAAAGGAATCCAAAGAGAAAAGCTGAAACTGAAATAACTGATGTGAAATCAGAGAAACCTGGGAAGCGGGCATCTATAAGTCCACAAAATCTAGGATCTGTCTCTCCTGCATGTGTTGAATTACCACAGATGATGGGCATCTGCGAAGACTCTACTCTAGAGCATAGGAATGCCAGTGATGAGGTCAGAGGTAGAGTAAACATCTCAGTGGATGGTCTATCTGGATGTCAAAATGGCATTGCTTTGAATGAAAATGCCCGGTCCCTACCTGTTAATTTAAGTGGATGTGTTATTCCTAGTGCTTTATTTGGAATTCCAAAAGAAACAGTTTCTATTCAGGAGGTGCTCACTTCATGTGAGGTCCTACAGAATGATGAAAAGGTGAAAGCACTGGGATCAGCTCAGTTGGGTGGCGCGGGAGCTGCAATTGGCAACAATGAGCAGCTAAATGGACCATGCAATCAAGGAGGACAGTTTGAATGTGTTGAAACTATACTTGTGTCAAGTAACAAAATCCAGAACCTCACTTGCCGGGTGAGTTTCTATGTTTGTGAATTTGGGTCAGGGATTGTTGATGATGGCAGTGAGAGTTTTACATGTTTTTGAAGATTGTGAAGCTAAAGGGTCCTTGCAGGGTGATATAAGCTTGGCAGAGCAGATTTCTCAAATTGGGGATCAATGTCTAAGTGCTAGTGGAGTATTGGGGAATGGCTTGGCTGAAAAAACAAAGGTTTATTACAAAACTTTTTGTTCTACATTCACTGAAACCTCATCATTTCTTATATTTATAAAGTAAACATTATATGGTATTATGGATTATGCACTTATCATGAGTGGAATACACCAATTTATGTTCCATTTCCACTGAAACTTTGCATTCTTATATTACTAAACTAAAGATGATGTTATGTCCATTATGCGTTTGTATTTAAGTCTACAGTTCTTTTTCTTTTGGCATTACTGTTGGTTGAAGAGCTGAAATGCTGTTGGTATTTTTCATAATACTGAAGTTTGGTTCATATATTTGTAGGTGTTAGGCCTCATGCAACTCTTGCATTAATAGATGAGCAGGACATAATATTGGTTAATTCTTCCGATATTAGTGTGTTGTTACTTTTGGAAAATTAGAAATTTCTTTGTTTTTTGGAAGATTGAGAACCCCTCTAGATAGGCCTTGCAAAAGTTGCTTAGTTGAAATTAATAACTTCATGGATTGTGTATTTGTTTTTTTCTGATATGGTTTATTCTTTCACTCAGAAGGCCTCCATTTTCATGAATTCATGAATGGTCAGGGACTTAACATGTGGCATTCTATACCTCCATACCTGGACTTGAATATGGATTGTGTTTTTTTTTTTTTTTTTTTTTTTTTGGGTGACGAGGGAAACCCGCAGCCACTACCTGAAGTGGGCACTGGGTAAACCCTGCCTTGTGACCCTAGCCGGCAAAGGACCACAAGGAGGTAAACTAGCCTAGGTTGCCCTTAGCTGACCGGCTCAAACCAAGGAGGCTGGGATTCGAATTCGTGACCTTGTGGTTACAAGTTTATATCTGTAGCCTACTTGGATGGGGTTACCCATTGGATTTTGTGTTTTGAAGCATAATTAGGAACTCTTCCTCCTAAGCATAGTCTTCTTTTTGGATTTCGTAAGTAATCATTATTTCTACTTTGCTGTTGTCTAGCCAAATCATGACATTGCAAGGATAGTTGAAACGAAGGATGTGACAAGTGCCGAAGCCGTGCAGGAGCCAGCAATAAGGCATGTGTTTCTCATGTCCTGACACTCATTATTTGATTTTTGCTCTGTTATTTTTATACTTTCTTGCTGGGCTCTTTCTCTGGTTCCTCTCTAGCAGGCTTAGTCTGGAATCAACAGCATGAATGCCTGGTGGGGAGTTGATTAAATGAACCACAAGTCTCATGGAAAGTGTGTGTGGTTATGCCAGCTTTGGACATGGTTGAAGTGGGCGGGCGGGCGGGTAGGTGTGTGCATTTGCCTTTTCTAGCTAACTCTTGTCTGGGGTTGCACATAAAATGCCTTGGTTGGACTGTTTATCAGAGGAGCTGGGCGAAGTTATCTGTTCTGCATTCCCTTGAGCTGCTTTATTATCACTCGAATTTGTTGTCAAAAATCTAATGATTGGTATCTTCTTTTGTTAAGAGTGAAAAAGAATAAGTAAATAGTGTTGACAATGATTTGTTTCTTTTTGTTTATTTTGGGGTTTGCTGCTGGGGGTTCTGCAACATGTATGTTTTGGAGTGTGTTGTTCTCTAAATGCGACAAATAACTTTATGTGATCTCTCTCTAGAATTGTGAAAGTCTCTCTCTCCCTTACTCTTTATTGGAGTTGACCAAGCTTTTCTATTAATTTTTATCCTAATTAGATGTGAAGATTTTTGAATATGTATTTACTGGATTTTGTATATGGATGGGATGGTTTCAGCAGTTAAATTGTGATAAACTCCATCATATCTATAATCCATGCTTGTGGTGTGGAAGAAGTTACTTCTACTAACCAGTAACCACACCTCTGCAAATTTCATAATTCTTACCACTCAGCTTAGATGAATAGATGAAATCAGGGGTGAATGTTGATGTCCCTGTTATCTTAAAGCTCAATTTATATATTTTGCAAATTTTACAACTGAGGATCAAAATATCAATTGTTGGATTTTGGTTTCAATATAAATAAATAAATATATAACTTCCCGTGCTGTTAACACAAAAAAAGATGTACTTCAAAGTATTAAAATGGTGCACTTAAGTATACAAATTACGTATTTTAAACACATAAACAAAGCATCTTAAGAATACAAACTATGCGCCTAAAGTTTTAAAATATCGTATCTTAAGTTTCAACAACTGATGCACATTAAACATACAAATTACGCATCTAAAACTTTAGACTGATGTACTTTAAGTTTCAACAACTGATATACCTTAAGCATACAAACCTTAAGAATGAAAATCACGCACCTTACCTTAAACATACAAACCTTAAAAAAGAAAATCACGCACCTTAAGAAGGAAAACCACGCATCTAAAGCTTTAGATCGACGCACTTAAGTTTTCAATAACTCACGCACTTTAAGTCACACAGTACAAAAATTACACACCTTAAGCACAAAAATTACGCACTTCAAAAAGAAAAATCATACACCTTAAATTTGACCTAAATGCAAAAAGACCAAATTGTCATCACATTTTCTTTTAATCATTGTTAATCCTGAACGCTGATTTCAGCAAAATCAATGGCTTAGATTTAACCGTACAAACACACGGAACACACCCAACCGCACGGGAACTGAATTATATATATAGGGTGTACATATGAAGCATTATGTTGTATGCATATTAAGTATGTGCACATATTAAGAATATGTTGTGTGTGTATATCTTACGTTGTACACAATACACATTTAATATGTACACATTATAATATTTCATATGCACATGCACGTTTTTTGTTTTCTCAATTAATTTTATCCATAGATACCTCATCTTTTTAATACACCAACCAGATTAGTTCTCATATTCTACGTGATGGATTACAAATTTGGACGTAGTTTGATAATTTATTTCGCGGTTATACTTGCCAAAGAAGAAAATGGAGAATGAGTGTCCTGTTTATCCAATTTTCCAAAACATAAATCATGTTTGTTGGAGCATCCGGGTTCCCCCTCTTCCCGCCAAATATGCTCTTCACTCTTCCCATGAAAATCTCCACTCCCCACATACGCTTAGCAATTCGCTGATTCGTAAATACAAACATTTATACATAACTATCCTGCAATTTTCGCCAAATAAAATTGGTTAGTGATCTATTTTCATGTATGCCACGGGACAATGAAATTCTTGACGGTGAAGCCATGTCGGATTTTGATTCGCGGTAGGACTACAACCCTTTTGGGGATTTCGATCCCGAAGCCCCACCCGCCTTTGCCTTTGATCATCCCCAACAGGTTGAATTTACACGCCCCCCCTAAACGCTCACACAAGTCGCTGTTTTATTCGAGTTGGGTTCAGTCGAGTGATTTCACGAGCCGGTGGATTCGCACAAGTTTCAGTTTGGTTCGCAGTGTTGCGCCGAACCCTAGGCGTTTTTCCACCCAAATCGGGCTGAACGGGGAGAATTCGGATGGGAAGGCCCGGGTTGTGGAGAAGATTGATTTGGATGCGGTAAATAGAGAGGGAGTTGAAGAGTCTGAGCATTTGGAAAAGGGAAATGGTATTTCTGGCAAGGAGTCCGGCGTTGAAGAGCAGGCGTGGAAGTTGTTGAAAGAGTCCGTTGTTACGTATTGCGGGAGCCCTGTTGGGACCCTGGCTGCCAATGATCCTAATGATAGTTTGCCGCTTAATTATGATCAGGTGTTCATAAGGGACTTTGTTCCAGCGGCTCTTGCATTTTTGCTCAAGGGGGAGAGCGAGATTGTGAAGAATTTCCTCCTCAATACCCTGCAGCTGCAGGTGATTTTATGGTGTTTATGTGTTTTGTGTTTGCTTCTTTCCTTTTGCTTGAGACCATATTTATTGGGCTTTAAGCATCTATTGTGTTTGAAATGTCTTTAGGGGGTGTTTGATTGGAAGGAAGGAATTAAGGTGAAAAGGAATTATAATTCGGTGGGAAAAGAATAAGGTGTGAATAAAGTAGGAATTCAAATTACAGGTATGCAGGTGGGAATAAAGTAGAAATTCAAATTACAGTGTTTGGTATGTAAGAATAAGGTATGAAATTGAAAGGGAATAAATAATACAATGACTGAAATGCCCTTATGTAATAATAATAATAATAATAATAATAATAATAATAATAATAATAATAATAATAATAAAAGGAAAACAAAAATAAAAGGACGAAAGGAAAACAAAAATAAGATGACGAAAGGAAAACAAAAATAATGGGGAAGAAACAACAGGCCGAAAGAAAGGAAAGGAAAAGAAAAAAGAAGGGAACGAATGATGAATAGGGAAGAAACAAGGAAAGAAGGAAGTACAGCTAATAAGACAAAAGAATAAAACGGTCTTCACATATATTTTCTTCTCCCATCAAAACAACGAATTTCAATTCATAGGGGAGGTATGAATTAGAATTCAGCATTTGGAGGGAATTGCAATTTCTTCCAACCAAACGGCGTAATTGGACCTTCCACAGAATTGCAATTCAATTACACCCAAATTACATCCAACCAAACACCCCCTTATAGTTATATACTATTTGGGTGGGGTTGCTAGGCACAATACTGCTATGCCAAAAATTATAGCCCAAGACGAAACTTTATTTCTTCACCGCCACATTTTGTAGAGGTAGGGTGCTGGATTTGGCCCGTTACCGGTCTCCGCCTAACAATTCTCTCTCCTAACACCTAGGCAATTTATATCGTGCACCAAGGTGCACATTGCATTGTGCGTCCCGGTGCAAAACGACATTGTTTTGTACTTTTTTTGGGAAATTTCGCTTTCCGTGTCTGTTGTTAACTTCTTAAAAAAAATGTTCTCATGTTTTGAAAATGTACATAAGCGTATAACAGAATGTACATAATTGTATAACAGAATACACACTCTTTTTTGAAAAGATAATACACATAATCTAACATAATACATAATACACATAAACTTTTAACTCTTAAAAAAAATCTCATGTTTTGGATGTACATAATTGTATAAAAGAATATATATAATTGTATAAAAAAAATATACATAATTGTATAACATAATGTACATAATTATATACCAGAATACACATACATGGTCACGTCAACCCCTCACACAACTTAACAAAACGACGTTGTTTTGGAGGCGCGGGGTGCACCGCGGTGCACGGTATAACGATTGCAACAGCTACCACTTGTTAGGATTAAGCGCTTACCACCAATCATTATTGTGTGGACCATATTTTGTCTACTGTAAAATAATATACATTCAGTACAAAAATAATGTACATTTAGCATATTAAAAATGTATTTTTTTTTGGTCCACATAACATTCTGTGGACCATGGTCCACACAATAATTTGCCGCTTACCACTACGCCAAAAGCTATAGCCCACAACAAAGGCCTAATTTTATCTCCTTACTGCCACATTTTTAGAGGCGTGTTGGGCTTCCCCCTTCGCTGACCTTAGTTTGTTACCGGCCTCCGCCCAACAGCCAACAAAAACAATACTTTTGCTAATCATTTGTTTTTACTTGATCTAGGACTTCTGGGATTTCTTTAAATATTTTTATATCTATATTTGCATTCATGAACATTGCTCTTGCCTGTTGCTATTGAGATAAATGAGTTCTCATGCTTCTGCTTCCAATTTGATTTATGGCTTGGAATTTTAAGCTTTAAAGCAAATTGATGTCTTCCGTCTTTTTGCCATCTTTGTAACTAAAATTGGTATGATCAACCATATTATTCCATAACCAATTAGAGTCACAGTTAGAAACTGGAATTCGTAAAAATGATGCATATGTTTTATCTATTGACGGAATTCATTGGTTTCTTGTTTGTGATTTTAGAGTTGGGAGAAAACAGTTGACTGCTTTAGTCCAGGGCAGGGGCTGATGCCTGCAAGTTTTAAAGTGAGAACTGTGGCTCTTGATGAAGACAAGTTTGAAGAAGTTCTTGATCCTGATTTTGGGGAGTCAGCTATTGGCCGGGTTGCACCTGTTGATTCAGGCAAGTTCCTTTTACTACCTATGAAGTAGTTTTTTGTCATTGTTGTGTAGAAAGTGTTTTTGTTGTTTCGTATAAAAGATCAGTCCTTTCATTTCTGAAAACTCATCCTTGATATCGACTAACAAGAACAAGCTTAAAAAGATTCCTTAGTTAGTACAAAGGAATAGAGAAACATATGGAAAGGAGGACTGCTTAATGGTGTTAACTATATGGTTTTATAGGACTCTGGTGGATTGTCGTGTTGAGAGCTTATGGGAAGATCACTGGTGACTTGTCCTTGCAAGAAAGAGTGGATGTCCAAACCGGCATTAAACTCATACTGAACTTGTGTTTGTCGGATGGCTTTGACATGTTTCCTTCTTTGCTAGTCACTGACGGCTCGAGCATGATAGATAGGCGAATGGGGGTTCATGGTCACCCACTTGAGATTCAAGTAAGTAGAAAGTATTAGTAAGAGTATACTTTCAAATTTACATGTAGCTTCTGTGGTTTTAGTGCTCCTGTATTTGCTTTTGCTATTTGCCAGGCATTTCACAGAAAGAGGAAAAAGAAGGATTTCTATCCTATTCATAAAGTGCTTATATAGAGGCTATCTGTCTTTGGCATGACACAATGTATATTGTAGGCCTTATTTTACTCAGCTCTTCGTTCTGCA